CACACACACGCACACACACACACACACACACTCCTCCTGGATGCTAATACATCTCAATGAGGCATGTTAGGTGATAAAACAGCCACTAAAAGTCTTGTTTCTGCACAGAATCTAAGTCTGCATGGTGTTAGGAGGAGCAATAAAGATCGCTTTTAGTGTCTATACTTCAATAGAAGAATGTGCTGTCAACATAAAACACACCTGCAGGGGAGATGCACCTTCATAAAGCTGCTGAAAATCACATTCCCGCTCTTATGGGCTGGAAATGGATGAAACCAAGCGTAATTACGCACAGGATATTTAAGAAAAGGCTAGTATCAGACTGTTTCATAAGTGTCAGAGCAGGAATTAACATTATTAATCTGATTTAAAGACAAACTAGTGACGGGAGAGGAGGACTCTGCGTCGCCACACTTCTCCACACACACATCTAATGTTTTTAAGTTATTCATAACAGGAATTAAAGTATATTCAGGCTGGGTAAAGTGCATTATGGTCGGCGTGTTGCTACAGGTTGCCTCCAGCAGGGAGGAAGAAACGTGATGCGCAAAGAGGGACAGAAACTCCGTCCCGATTCTCCCATGAAACTACAAAGCAGAGCCCGTGAAGGTCGTTAAAAAGTGCCATAAAAGCCTCTGTAAAAGCGTGAAAACGTGCGGTTGTTTTAATGCATCAACAGGAGAATCGGTAATATGATTATTATGCGAGCAGAAGCACTTGTTATAAAGCAGCCTCTCTATTTATAAATCGTGGTTGGAGCCGGTGGAGTCCCGGCGCCGGCTGACCGAAGATAGGTCTCTAGGTGCGGGGTGTTTGCGGAGGGAAAAGCCCTTAAATCTGTAAAAATCTTTGCAAAAAAGAAGAAGTTTAAAGGCACTTACCGCTGACTCGGATCGCTGCACCGCGACGCACAGGGCGAAAAGCAGCAGAGGCACGGCGAGCTGGCTCAGGCTCTTCAAGTCTTTATTCATCTTGTGGGAATTAAACAGGACACCACTCACAAAATCTACTTTCTTTCTACTCGCGAGGCATAGCCCTAATTCCCCCTCTGCACACTTGCTTCTCAGTGAAATAGAAAATGGTCAGAAAGGCACTTGTTCTCGGCTGTTTGTTGCGCGTGCAGAGGCTGCAGTGGTCCTGGCTGTGGCTGCGCCTCTGCAGTCCCCCTCTCTAACTTTTTCTCTCCTCGACTTGCAAACCTGCCCAGCCGGATCTACTTTCCAAAGGCAGTGCGCAGTGATATCATCTCCCCTGGCACCTACACTGACTCAGACAACTCGTGAAAAATAAGGTTTCCGAGTGAATTGCATCTTAAATGTCATCCACTACTAGTAATCTTTGTTTGATGTCTTCAGTTCAGATTTGTTTTAAAACACTTTCAAATCAGAAATAACCTAATAATGTTAGGACCTCGCAGGCGGATGGATATGTTGCCTTCATTCTTGCCTCCCAAATCCTACCCATGCCTGAGGCTCCACAAAAGAAGGTTTGACATTAAACCTTTATTTGACATTTTCTATATGCCCAGGCATGTTTGCATTCCTGCCAGATTATTAAGGGCCAAATACTCACTTTTGACTCTTGACAGAGGGTTGCTGCGGGCAGAAGTAAAGTCAGATTGATTTCTTTAAAACAAAACAAAAGTGCATCACCTTTCCTTCGAATTTTACTGCATTCTTTTGATAGGGTGTAATGCAAAAAGGCTATTATGTGAATGGGAAAAGTCATATGCAAAGCTGCTGTATAACTGTAACTATATGGATTTGATTATCCAGACATCCTAAAACACATATTAAATTAATATACTGACATTTTAGTTGGAGATTTCCCTTTTCTTACAGTTTAACATATAATTGAATCTTTAAAGTCCATGAAGTAGGTCCCGGAAGAACACCTAAAATGCAGATGACATTCTTTAGGGAGGCTTGAAGTTATAACGTAACCTGGAGTTAATGATCGTTGATTTGTTTCACAAGTTTGTGTAGACAGAGCCAGTAGACCACAAGTTCACTTTGTAAATTATAATATATTTTTCTCTAAATGGGAGTATTGACTTGAAGTAAATGTATTGAATATAAAGGACGACAATGGAAAATAACCTTGTATCCCTTTTTAAAAATGACGTTTGCATAAACAACGCTGCATTCTCAATGACACTAGTTTTAAAAACAAGAATAATGTTATGAATTGAAAACAAACTCTTGGTTTCTGTTAAAACAAAAACGTTTTTTACATAACTTAAATTATGTCAAATTAACAAATGAACAACGTTAGTTATGTTATGTAGGCTAAGTTACATATGTTAGTAAGTTCACTTGCTTAACTAAGTTCAAACTAAATGGGCTGGCTCCGGCTTATCCGTCATCCATCGCTACACCCCAGCCAAAGCTTTAAGGTCGGCTGACCAGCTGCTGCTGATAGTGCCCAAGACCAGGCTCAAAACCCGAGGGCACCGAGCCTTCGCAGCAGCTGGCCCTAGGCTCTGGAACACTCTGCCCCTCCATGTGAGGTCGGCCCAGACCCTAGGGGTTTTTAAATCTACACTTAAGACTCACTTCTTATCTCTGGCCTTCTAGTCAGAGCGGAGCACGACTCCTGACATTTCCCTGTGTGTGATTTTAATTGTTGCTATTGTAATTTGTTGTCTTCTGTTTGCTATTGTAGTAAAGTGTTTTTATTGCATGTACAGCACTTTGGCTCGACCAAAAATCGTTTTAAAAATGTGCTATATAAATAAAACTTGATTTGATTTGATAAAACAAGTCAAAATTGACATTGGGTTTGTTTGTTTTTTAGAAAAAGTCAAAAGATTGTTGAACCCGGCATCCAACCCAACCTTCTTCCTACAAGGACTTACGATAAATGTACGATTCCCTCTAAATGTAATTGACAATGCACACTGTTTTAAATTAACAAGATTTTCAGGAGAATAGGCTGACAATACAAATACGTCTTGTGTTATTCTTGACACTCTTCACAAGTTGGGTGTACCTAAATGTCCAATCAGCATTCCTACACCAACCTGCCATCTTATTAAACTAATGCAATCAGATATGATAGTCAATTAAACCTACCCTCACAAAGGTTATAATGTCTAGCTTTGAAACTGTACTCGAGAAATGTTAATTCAACTTTATGGTCACTTTGGAGGCTGTTTGTGTTTCTGTTGAATTATGTTTTGTAACCCACTTCATTCCCAACTTTAACCCTAACCCTTATATTTTGTCCAACCCATTTATATAAGCAGGAAGACACATTTCCATTTTTCACTTCATCTCTGCAAAGATTGTGACATTGTTCGAAATTGTAGGAGTTAGTGTATGGTGACTTTCAAAAGCTTCTTAGGTTTTAACTTGTTCTAATATATGGGCTCAAGGGTTAATGTGGGGTGTAAAGTAACTAATATTCTGATTCATGTAGAGGGGAGGCTGTGGCTCAGTGGATAGTGTGCTGGACTTCGAATCAGGGGGTAGCAAGTTCGAGTCCCACTGCACTCAGCATGTCGTTGTGTCCCTGGGCAAGACACTTCACCACCCCAAATTGCTCCTGTGGGGATTGTCCACAGTACTGAATGTATGTAAGTCGCTTTGGATAAAAGCGTCTAACAAATGACCTGTAATGTAATGTAATGTAATGTAGCAATGAAAATAAATAATAGGCATTCAAAGTGCAAAAGTACAAAGGTCCCATGGTGGAGCCCTGCGGTACTCCACAGCTCTAAAACAAGCTGTTGAGTAGCACTGAGATGCCTTTATACAAGAGAGATTATATAATTTAAACAGAAACATGAGTGTAATGTCAACACAATGCAGTCATAGATAAATTATCATGTAGTCATATGTGTTGAAGACTCCCTGAGGTCAAGTTGAACAAAAATAGACTGTCCAAGAGCTAAAATGGGACTGTTTGCAACTTGAGTAACTCAGTGTCTGCACCGTGTTTAGAGCAGCATATCAGGACAGAGGTGTTTAAACAAAGTTTTTAATTTGATCCCATGCTTAACATAGATATGAGAATGCTGAGCTATAATAATCCTGAATGCATTTGCAGGATCCATTTTATAATTTAAGGTAAAACTAGGCCTTTTTATAAGTTGCACATTTGTTATACACCGAAGAAATATCATGCAACCAGAGACAATTATAAATAAAGCATACTGCTTTTAGAAGACTACATTGAGTTTGCACAATCCTTATTGTTTTATTACTTATATATGTATTTTTTCCTTTTTGTTGCATTGTTGTGGAGCCTGGTTCTTAAGATTTTCATTGCCAAAACTACGCAATAAAGCATTTGAATCCTATCATATGACCATTATGATGTTTGTATGGGTGAAAATGTTGCAAACTGATCATAACGTCACTTTACAGTCTTAGAGAAACTTACCTTTTAGGGATATTGTGTTGATATTATGGGGAATACAGTGAAGTAACATGTTCATCAAAGTTTCTATCAACTCATTATTGAGCTTTGTGGGAATAAAGATCTCAAAATGTCTTTAAAAGACATTTTCTTTACTTTTTGCTATTCATTACAAGAAACTAAAGACTCTCCGAAATGTTAAAATCTCTTGTTGTCGCCAAAGGATCATATGTTTTAATTAAATGTAAAACCAAGCCTTTTTGTAAGCTGCAGATTTGTTCTAAACAACCGAAAGATCATGCGACAACAGGCGATTAAATTACTGTTTATTCAGACCTAAATGAGTATCATGGCCACTATGATGTTTTTAATGGGTCCTAATGTTTCAAATCAATCAAAAGGTAACTTTACAGTCTTGATAAACTCACTTTCTAGGCATAGTGTGTTCATATTATGGGGTGTACAGTAAAAGTCTTTATACTTTCTTTATTAGTGAGATATTTTCATATTTTTGTCTTTTTTTCATAGATTTAACCCAACTAAAGACTGTCTCCGGACTGAAGAGCCTCCTCTGCTGCACTGAAGAGGTTCTGGTGTGTGTGAGTTGGTTCTGGTGTGTGTGAGTGGGTAAAATCTCCTGTTGAAGCCAAAGGTATGGAGGCATGAATGACATGTGTTGGCCCCTCCTCTCCTGCTCTGTGCTGCGCTGCTGAGTTTCAAGCGCAACAACCCGGAGAGCGCAGCAGCGACTTCACCGCTGCAACTTTGGTGAGTTGGATAAGCTCTCATTTTATCAAAGAAATCACCTACAAACACATTTGTTTCCTGTGGTGGTTGTGTTTTAATGCGTGGGGACGTCAGAGTGTGTGTGTAAACGTTGGTTGTGTTTGTCGGTGGGACTACTTTATCTCTCTCTTTCTGTCTCCGGGTAGATGACAGGGTTTTTTGGAGCAGTCGATGAGCGCGTTTGAAGTACCTTGCTGGTGAAGACAAGGGGATCGAGTACCTGTGATTTACCCCATCTACTCACCAAAATGAAACTCCTGTAAGCCATTTTCCTCTTTAAAATCACGCTGCAACTTTTTTATTTTAAAGTTATCGGCTTTGCCACGGCGTTTGTCGCGGCTGAAAGCGAGCTCCGGCTCACTTAACCTGCCAAATAAACACTTGGAAACACAAACTAACTTAAAATGTTTATTTCCCTGGCAGGATTTGTATGATAGCAGTCGCCTTGGCGGTGGGATCTGCGCACGGAGTAAGTCCCTTTTGCTTATTATTACTCTCCTTCAGGTGAAGTGGCTCTCAGCTCCACCGTTTATTTAGAGCACAAATGCAACAGATAAACGATGGAGTTTTTGCATTCAAACTGCTGCACAAAATACTTTTCCTGAACCTGTTGCATGTAAATGTCTCAACCGAGCTAATTTGGAAAGTTTTAAAAACGTTTTAACATCATCATTTTCAAAGCTGGTTGCATAAATTATGTTTATAAAGTGCCTTCCATACTCATGTTGTCCATATGCACTTTGCAGAAGTGTCCCTACATGCATCACGCTGTGGGTGTCTTCAGTCTGGCATAAAGAGACACATTTCTGAATATATTTCATACTACACATCTTTAAGGACACTTCAGTCAGTGTTTGCAGTATTTTTATTGTCTTTTAAGGACCTATTTTACTCCAAGTGAGTTCTGTGTTGCACCATGTGTGCACTTTTAGCAATGGATGTTTTTTTTAGAGCTTTGGTGTAAAGATTGCACTTTTTAGTAGCCCGAATGATAGAAAAAAGCAGCTCATATTTGAGATGGCCCGCTCAGTCGTTTGCAATTCAAGCCCCGCCCCCCTGATGAATATTTAAATGAAGGAGGTTTTTAGGGCAATGTGCCTTTTTCTAAGCCACACCTTTGCAAGACTTTCTGAGTAATCTGCTGCTGCAAGACAGTGCAAGCAAACAGGGATTATTTCTCTCTTTAAACAACCTTTTTGTGCATTCTTATATTTCATTTAAATCCTGAGTATATGGGGTCTATTTGAAGGTATATAGCATTTTCAAGGGCAGATAATCTATTCCTAGTTTCTCATTTCATTTTGTCAAATCATACTTTTAAACATCAGAACATACAATGCAGTAAAAGCTCATTAATTTAAGTATTTATGCAGTAAGAAATGACTTAAATATATCCCATAATAAGCATTCTGAGATATTTAACCATCCCAAATCAGTATTTATACGCTCCATACCCACATTTAATACATATAATAGTATACACAGAGGCGGTTGAAGTGTTTAAATGCGTTATTGAGACACAGATTGGCCATCTGTGATGACAAGGGTCAGGTTAAATTGTGAAGGGAAAGGTCACTACACCCACTACCTCCCAAATTAGAATATGAAAGGGGAGTGGGGCTGTTTGATGCTGTCATTCAAACATGGCTTCTTTCTTGTTAATTGGGCAGGACTTTAGGTTGAGGAGAAGCAAAAGTGAAAGCTATATAATGTAATTAATGTCTGTATGCTCCAACATTACATTGGTGTTACGTAAAAGCTTCCAAATAGTATATAAGTACTGTTGTAGTTGAATTAGTTTTAAGGTGGTATGTGGTTTAATTTTTTGAAATATGTCCTTTTTTTATGTTACGGTTGGTATTAGCTTGCAGAAGTTTACAAAGTAACTAGAAAACAAAGCTGTGAAGTACATGAGGTGGAGAAAACATGTATTGGAGAAGATGTCTATAATAATTATACTCAATTACAAGTACCTACAAATTGCACAGTACAGTACAAGAGTAAATGTACGAAGCTACATTTCACTACAATTTATTATATCATAATTTCACGCAATTTCAAGCACAGTTGGTGCAAAATAAATCTAAATCCTTTGCCAAACTTCAACAGTCAGACACAAACCTTCAACCCTAGCAGTGTTAGTGCCTTGCTCTATGAGCCGAGTGACAGGAAACTGAAGTAAGGCGGTCGTTGTCTTTGACAGAGACGCTGACGGGGAGACATTAAAGCGAATGAACAGCAAAAAGCTTCCTGCGTCTCAATAGGACTCATCTGATGGAGCTGCATTGACTTTGAATTGACTTCTCCACCCACTTCCAACCTCCCCGTTGTTTTGTGTTGTATATATGTGTGTGTGTGTGTGTGTGTGTGTGGGTGGCTGAGTAGATGGATACGTGTGTGTGTGTTGAGTGACTGACAGATTAGTTTGTTGGGTGGTCTGGGCTCCTGTAACCCTTGTAATCGTGTCTTTAGCTGCTGTCCAGCCCAAAATGTATTTTATGGTGGAAATTATTATTATTACGAGATAGGGTTGGATGTTGGCGTCGATAATTACCCATACCTTTTAAGCTTGTACATATGAGTTAAAACCACTACATTTTACATGTATTTTGGGTGAAACAACAGTCTGACCGTCATTTTGTTGGACCTCAGTTCCTGTGTCTCCAAATAAAAAAAGTTGTGCATTAAGCTAACAAACCACCCTATCTGTTAGCTATCGTTTACCGTCTAGTTAGCATTTCTGCAAGTAGCAAGCTTTCGATGTGGCTGATAGTAGTGGGTCAGCATTGTTTAGTTTGCAAGTTAGCTAGCTAGTTATGCCAAAACTAAACTGACTTCCCAAGCTAACAAACGCAGCGCTACAAAGAGTTACAAACCACATTAAGCCACTGGAACTATGTGCATCTTTAGGAAGAGCATGTTAGCATGCATTAGCTTGCTTGTTAGCGAGTTTGCTAGCTAATTATGCGGCTAAAACCAAACGTTTGTTGAGGCTAACTTAACCAACTTGCTACAAGATGCTATCAGGAGGTTTGAACATTAATTTAGAAACACCAATTTACAGTTAATAAGAACATATGTGTGTCTTTTGGTCTACTTCATTTGACATCTAAGCGTCAAACCCACATATATACAGTAGGTAGCTTACTTTAACAAAAGCATGGTTGTTATATTGATGGATTATCTTAGCGTTAGCTGACTTCCCAAAATGATGTTTCAGTGAACATACGGAGAGGGTGTCTGTCAGGGCTGCCACAGCTGTTGGCACAGAGAAAACATCACACTGGGGTGAGGAGGAATGGTGAGGTGAAGGGAGGAGGCATGACGGGAAGGAAAAAGGAGGGAGAGTCAAGTGATTTTTTACTATACCTAGATGGTAAGGAAATGTACTTTTTACATTTGTTGGAATGCAAGATGGATGGGTTGGACAGATACACACTGTACATACTGTTTAATCGCAGGCTAGTGAGATATGAGGATTTAAAAAAAAATTGGACACTCTTGGTTACGTTGTACGTGCACAGTTCACGCCGGAAACTGAGATTTGTGTCGTTTTATGGCAGATTGACATTATTTTTGCCTTTTTTAAAGATAATTCTGGTGTTTTTCCAAGTTTTATCGCCTTTCAATTGAAGTTTATTTTATGCTTGCTATGCAGTTTTACGTTTTTGGGTGGTTATTTCCTACTGTTCAACCAACCCATTGGTTTTCCATTTGTCAAAGAGTCATTGAGATCATCAAATCTGCATTATTTCATTATCCTTTTGAGTTAAAGCCAATTTTCTGTTTGTCTGTTTATCAATTCTCCTCCTATAAGCAATGGGTGCCATTAAAAAACAAATACATTATTTACATTTGATTGCATTATTAATTCAGCTCAACAGTCCAAAACAACCAAACATATTCAGTTTACTATCATGTACAACAAAAAAGCATAAAATCCCAACATTTTTAAAGCTGGAACCAGCAAATTATTGACCTTTTTGCTTAAAAAATGAATGAAATTAGCTAGAAATGGGCTAAAACATGCAAAATTGCTGATATTATAATGAATCAACTCGAGTGCATCTGTGGATCAGCTAGACTTCAGAGTGGAAAAGAGAGTAGCTAGATCCCTATCTTGTAGTTTTAGCAATATTTGGTTTCCAAAGTGTGCACAGTGTATAATTAGTGGAGATACATTGATGTGATAAAGCCGTTAGAGACAGTTAAAGTGGCATTAACTCTGTGCTGCTGCAGAAAAAGTAGTCCCTCCTTAACTGAAGAGATGCAATTAGAGGTGGGTTTGGTGCAAGAGTGATGCTAAAAGCTCACACACTGACAAATGTTGCAGGGACATCCACTTACTCCCCCCTCCTCTCCTCACCCTCCCCCCTTTGGTTGAATTCCTCCTGAGCTTGGCAGAACTTGTCTCCCACTCCCTGCAGGTGCTATAGACTAGAACATTCCAGAAACGCTAAGTGAGGCGACTGATCACCGCTTGATTTGTGGTTGTTAGACCCTCCCCAACTCAAACTGAGTCCCCCACCTCCTTCTTCCTTTCCCTTCCTCCCTTAACCCGATCATTACCCCCTCACACCCCCCTTTCCTATCACTTTTTGCCCTCGCTGCTTCCACAAGTCAGAGGTTGATTTGTGGTTTGATTTGCAACGTAGTGGTTCCCAACAAACTGTTTACCGTTCCTGTGTCTTTCCAAAGTTCCCTATATCATTTACATTTGAATATTGTATTAGTACTTTAAGTTGCAAGACCTTAACCTGCATATTTTGTCAATCGATTCAAGTTTTATGGTCTTTTTTTCAGGTATCTGTTCACTTATTGCTCCAATGTGCAGAAATGTGCAGTTTTTCTTTGACAAATGTAATAGTAAACTGATATTTCATATATGAAATATTCATATATGTTTTGGTCTCTTTTTAAACAAAAAAAGTAATGTTAGATGCCTTCCTTGGCTTTGTGACATAAAAAATGCAATTTCTCACTTGTATCTTTCATTTTATGGCTAATTAAACTATGAATTGATCAATTAAGTATATATTCATCAGCACTCCATGTACAGTAAGAATTGAAACAATTGTAGTTGCAGCCTTACTAATTGCATGTAGGTTTACTTTTAAGTCCATCTTATTGACATATCAGTATGTTCCTGGAAGTCCTTGTGTTGTGGTTTACATTCCCTTAAGGCTTTTCCCTGAAAACAAGAATGGATTAGATGAGGGAAGTTTGTAAAAAAAAAGTTCTGACGTTGTTTTGAAATGTGATAGGCAAAGAAACCGATGGTAAATCCGGAGAAAGAGTGTGTGTTTGATGTGATGGGTCACGCTGTTTTGTCCCATGTTGAGGGTCAGGATGCAGATGTGTCTTTCTTTAAAGGTCCCCTATTATGCAAAATCCACTTCTTCATGTCTCTTCTACATAAACATGTGTCCCCTCTTCTTCATGTCTCTTCTACATCAACATGTGTCCCCT